AATTTCCATGCAAAAAAAGATACTTCATGTGAGTTCAATTTATCTACTAAAATTTGGATGTTTATCAATTAAGTCCAGGTGGGTACGGTAATGTTATTTATTATCTCTTTCTTCTTGGTGTTATCTTCTTGATGTTTTGTCAAGTACTAATCAGATCTTCTCCATTAATATAAATCTTCATCCAATTAAAGTATTATTAATCACTCTTTGAGTTTGGTCATACTGTCAACATTTGCGCTTCTCAGATTTCTAAAAGGGGGAGGTGGAGAAACTTAAGATTTTGGCTAAACCCTTGTCTGGTTCAGTAGCTTAGTTCTTGTTTTGAATTTCTAATTCGAAATCCGTTGATTACCCTTTGTAACCAGAGCTATAGAGATGGTAATCGATCTTTCAATTTCAATTTAGATTCAAATTTTTTATGTTTTTTTTCTCAAAATTGTTGAGAAGAATGTTAATGGTTATACTACTGTAGGTTTGGATTAAGGTTTTTCATAGCTCACCTTAACAAGACAAGGCATTTGATTAAGAACTCTAAGGCTAAACCATCAAGTGAATTGACTGCAGTCGGTGTTGGTGAAGACCCTAGGGTCACTGAAACTGACCTCAATCAGTCTTCTTCAAGTTTTGAGGTACCTTTGGGCATTGAGGGAGTGGCTGAAGATCCTAAGTTGTGTATTTCAAGCTCAGGGTACCTTGATCATGTTTGTTACAACTCTTTGACAGACAAAGTGAATTCATTGGCTAGCCCATCTATTTTTTAACTGTTTTTGTTAGGTCGTTACATTGTCCACTTGATTGCTAGCAATTTACACCCTTAGCAGCGTGCGAAGGATAGGAAACACTTACGAATTCAGGAGAACAGAGGCACAGAACTTGGGTTTTTTTACCTTTGCTGTTAGAGGAACTTCTTACACTTTTCGCCATTTTTTTGCTCAAATGTTATGGACTTATGGTAACTTTGACTTCTACAGGTTTCATAGGAGGTGATCCATCTAACACGAATACAAGTAGCATAACTGGTTTAATATTTATTTATGTGTTCTGCAGTGAAGTTATTTACACCATGCAGACCTGTTATGGGGCATCACAGACTAAATTAGCATCGTGAACCTTGTCTCATTTTGGTTTTTGATTTTTGATTTTTAGATTTTAGCTTTTCGTTTTTAGATTACTTCACGGTCCCAACTCTGTGCTTCATGATGCGATTTTTTTTCTAATCAATTGGTTGGAACTTGTAGGTGCCAACCATGTACAATAGCACCAAAAGGGCGGCGAATGACAGTTCACCAAAAGGGCAGCGAATGGCAGTTTTTTAAGTGATCATGTCAAGCTAGTTGGTTCTGTTTGGATGCTATGTTCACAATATTCATTTTTATGTAAGATTCAATGACCATTAATCTCTTAATTTTTTATGTCAAGTCTTTAAAATAACTTCAAGAAGCTGATGACTAGCAAATTTGTTTTGGTTGTTGTTGGCAGGATGTTGAGGTCAGACTCTTATGGCTCAACTGTCATTTGAGGTTTGTATCTCAAATGGTTATGCAGCCTAGGCTGGACACTCCCAGCTTTGTCGTGAAGAGAAAATGCTTGCTAAAAGCATTAAAGTGGGAGTTAATCCACACAGATGAATGGATGACTTCTCACTTTGGTATTCTTAACAACTGGTGTGGGGATCTGATTGACTTGTTTGGATGCATTTGAAAATTAAAGAACAAGAATAGAGTATGCATGCCACTTCAAGACTAGCTGGAGTACTTGGGAGCACTGTTTCTCATTTTTTCTTTCTTTCTTCGTACTCACTTTATTGACTTCTTTTGGCAGGCCTAGAGCAAAAATCTCTTGGCTTTTTAATTATTCATATACTCTGTAGTTTCTTAAGGTAGTTGTTTAAGGCAGCAATTTT